GTTTTTGATGTTGTAAGTGAACCCAGAATGTCTTCATAGATGACGATTGCAATCTGTCTACATAAAAAATAAGTTCTCTGAAGAATTTGAATGATAATACCCACTTGGTTCAACTTGGTAAAATTAACAGTTTAGGAAATATTTGTGAATTTATATCACAATGCACATCGCACGGCGTCTCCACCATTTTTTTAAAATTTTTAATTGGACATAATTACTATGTTAGAACCATACCTATTTTTAAAATAAGAACCTAGAATATCTTACTGTCTGCTAATGTAATTTTCACTAACAAAATTTGACAAACACGCTTTACACATAACACAAAATAGAACAAGAATAAGTTAAAGTAAGTTTAAAAAATGGTTTAAAAGAAAAAAAACTATCAAAGTACACGTCTAATATTATCACAATGAAAATTAATTCTTTGTAGCAATTCATCCCTTGTTTGTACTGGGGATGAGTACACTAAACTTTTCTGGTACCCCTACAGAAAGAAGTCGATCGGGTTTAATGTCTAGATAACGTGGTGGAAATTGGGTACAATGGATAAATAATTTTGTACATCAATATTGAAATGGGGAGGGGCCCCATCGTGCTTAAATCAAATGTTTCTTCGGGTGTCTAATGGAACATCGTCTAATAGTGGCTGCATGTTATTTTGCAGAAACTCCAAATATCGATGTCCATTCAGACGTTTTACAAAAACGTATGGACCTATTAAATTTACTATTCTTGCCCATACATTAATAGTGGGTAATAATTTAATAGGTCTATACGTTTTTGATAAACGTCTGAATGGACAATAGTTTAGAGACTGTAATTAAAAATAACTTTTTAATTTTCACCTTTGAGGGATGATATTATTTTGACCTCATTTATTTCGTATCGATTTATTTATTTGTATCAAGTACCGTGACCCCCTGTATAAGAATAACTGTGTCAATTTATGATAGTTTTATAAACATTTTCCTTATTACTATTGTCAAGTAGTTATTTATTAATAGTCGAAGTAAATTAGTTTTATTAGGAGAAATAAAGTTTTTAAAATTTGGGTGCGAACTCCTTACATACATGCAAATACAGATTGACAGAGTTCCCACCTATCTGGAGAGTGCTTCATCCCCTTATGCTTCAGAAACCACCCTCTAATGTGAACTCGCGCCAGTTTTTTTTAATTTTTCTCAAAAACTGCTGCTTTGACGAGAAAAATGAATAAAATATTCGGCATAAAATTCTACATCATTTATGTCCTATAAACTTTTTTCTATCGTTAACTCTACTGTCAGAAATATCATTTGAAAAATTAAGATATGCTGCTAAAGTTAGGCAAAAATGAATAGTGACAAATATCTTGAAATACATTGGCCATAGCAAAATGCTGCAAGCAAAGCAGATTTTTCTACACAAACCTGGCTATAAGGACAAAGAAAATATGACTACAGAAAATTTTATTATTACTAGTTGCTACGTCTTTTATATTCGAGCCCGTTTCCACACCACCGCTGAGGTAGATCTCCCGGCGCGTTTTTTTTTTTGTAAGTAATTTCCCCTGGAGGCCTAATACACTAAAAGCTAACTGCTATTTATTCATTTATTGAATTATATTCAGTTAATTCCTCCTCTACCCCTGAATTAAGGCATCTTTGACCATAACAATTGGACCACATTGTTCAACACTTCAATCCAACCTTAGCACAATCGCATCGTTTTCCGTAACCCTTTTTCGTTTGATATTAACTGAAGTATAGAAGTAGGAGCTGGTATCTCAATTGTAGGAATTGGCACCAAAATTTGGTTAGTTGTTTTCCATCCCCATTCATTAGGCTTCAAATTTTCTCCACGCCACGAATGAATTTGTTTTTTAAAAACGCGATACAAATGTTGTTCTAAAGCAACACATGTAGGTGGTAGTCTTGATAACATCACTGCTTGATTAGATTGACCAACAAATTTGTTAATTGAAATGAATCTAAATTGATTTAATGATGTGACAGTTCGAGGTGCCTTGTATAAAGCTAGTGTGATTTTCTCTCCAGCTCGTATAATGTCTGGTTTGACCGATGATGCATTGTTAGATATATGCAAAGCATCGTCTAAGTCCCTTTTAATATTTACTAAATTTACAGTTTGTGCTTTTCCTTTGCCAAAAATGCTGTTGTAGTATCACAACCACTGAATGCGTGAGCATATAATATACTTCTTTTACAGTTATGAAGGACTTCCGAATTCTGTAAGTCGAAAGAACTGTATGGTACACATAAATGTTTAAATATATGTTTTACGTTTTATGGATACAATTTACATTAAATACTAAACAGCGAAAAGGATTATATTTATAATTTATCGCAACGCTATTAGGCAAAGCTTTATTTTGTTATGAAGTTCAAAATCCGCTGTAAAAAATAAGCACCCAAATTAATTTTTCTCAAAAGCCATCGTAATTTTAAGGAATTTGTCTTATCTTTATCAGAATTAACCTATTTCAAACGTCATTTGTGATATTAGGACTGGATATAGGAAAAAATGTATAGGACACAAATTATGTAGAATTTTATGCTGAATGATTTAGGCCCTATTCATTTTCCTCGTCAGAGTAACAGTTTTAAAGAAAAATCAGAAAATGGGCACCAGGTCACGTAACGGGGTGGTTTCTGAAGCAAACGGGCACCCTCCTGAGAGGTGGGAACTCTTTTGATCTGTATTTGGATGCCTATTAAGAGTCCGCACCCAAATTTTTAAAAATTTATAAATTATTTCTCCAATTTGCCATTTTAATTGCTAATTTAAATCAAGTTTTGCCTTTTTTGAAATTTAAATAGTGAAATATGCTAAGGTTTTTATTTATTCTCACAATTTATATTTATTAAAATTTATTGAAAATGTAAAATTTTACGATTGTGGGTGTGTTCCAATAAAGTAACATAATTATAAAATAATACCAACTATTTTATTACCTTTACCCATAATTTAAAAACTGCAAGGCCAAACATTTCATTCTTTGTCACACCAACCTCATTTCCAGCGACTCCTTTCCAGCCACATCGTTGAAAACTGTCTCAGGGTAATACATCGCTCTCTGAAGAGTGCATACCGTTGCATAATGCATCTCCCTTCTCTGTGGTTTCCTGCAAACTACATTCAATGCACCTCCTAACGCCACTNTTACATAACCTTGAAAATAGCAAAAATACGTGTTTTTTGCACTTATAGGTTAGAATATCTCGGAAACCTAGGGTGATGGATCAATTCTGAGGCCAGGTTCGGATTCAGCGCGCCAAATGCCTTCGGAAACGCAGTGTCTGATCTCTGGAATTTTTTCCTTGTTGGCCTGTGTAATTTATCGCAACGCTATTAGGCAAAGCTTTATTTTGTTATGTTATGTTATTTTATTATGTAGTTCAAAATCCGCTGTTTAGTTATAAGCACCCATATTAATTTTCCTCAAAAGCCATCGTAATTTTAAGGAATTTGTCTTATCTTTACCAGAATTAACCTATTTCAAACGTCATTTGTGAGATTAGGACTGGATATAGGAAAAAATGTATAGGACACAAATTATGTAGAATTTTATGATGAATGTTTTAGGCTCTATTCATTTTTCTCGCCAGAGTAACAGTTTTTAAGAAAAATGAGAAAATGGGCACCAGGTCACGTAATGGGGTGGTTTCTGAAACAAACGGGCACCCTCCTGAGAGGTGGGAACTCTTTTGATTTGGATGCCTATTAAGAGTCCGCACTCAAATTTTTAAAACTTTATAAATTATTTCTCCTATTTGCCATTTTAATTGCTAATTTACTAAATAGTGAAATATGCTAAGGTTTTTATTTATTCTCACAATTTATATTTATTAAAATTTATTGAAAATGTAAAATTTTACGATTGTGGGTGTGTTCCAATAAAGTAACATAATTATAAAATAATACCAACTATTTTATTACCTTTACCCATAATTTAAAAACTGCAAGGCCAAACATTTCATTCTTTGTCACACCAACCTCATTTCCAGCGACTCCTTTCCAGCCACATCGTTGNCGTCTAAGTCCCTTTTAATATTTACTAAATTTACAGTTTGTGCTTTTCCTTTGCCAAAAATGCTGTTGTAGTATCACAACCACTGAATGCGTGAGCATATAATATACTTCTTTTACAGTTATGAAGGACTTCCGAATTCTGTAAGTCGAAAGAACTGTATGGTACACATAAATGTTTAAATATATGTTTTACGTTTTATGGATACAATTTACATTAAATACTAAACAGCGAAAAGGATTATATTTATAATTTATCGCAACGCTATTAGGCAAAGCTTTATTTTGTTATGAAGTTCAAAATCCGCTGTAAAAAATAAGCACCCAAATTAATTTTTCTCAAAAGCCATCGTAATTTTAAGGAATTTGTCTTATCTTTATCAGAATTAACCTATTTCAAACGTCATTTGTGATATTAGGACTGGATATAGGAAAAAATGTATAGGACACAAATTATGTAGAATTTTATGCTGAATGATTTAGGCCCTATTCATTTTCCTCGTCAGAGTAACAGTTTTAAAGAAAAATCAGAAAATGGGCACCAGGTCACGTAACGGGGTGGTTTCTGAAGCAAACGGGCACCCTCCTGAGAGGTGGGAACTCTTTTGATCTGTATTTGGATGCCTATTAAGAGTCCGCACCCAAATTTTTAAAAATTTATAAATTATTTCTCCAATTTGCCATTTTAATTGCTAATTTAAATCAAGTTTTGCCTTTTTTGAAATTTAAATAGTGAAATATGCTAAGGTTTTTATTTATTCTCACAATTTATATTTATTAAAATTTATTGAAAATGTAAAATTTTACGATTGTGGGTGTGTTCCAATAAAGTAACATAATTATAAAATAATACCAACTATTTTATTACCTTTACCCATAATTTAAAAACTGCAAGGCCAAACATTTCATTCTTTGTCACACCAACCTCATTTCCAGCGACTCCTTTCCAGCCACATCGTTGAAAACTGTCTCAGGGTAATACATCGCTCTCTGAAGAGTGCATACCGTTGCATAATGCATCTCCCTTCTCTGTGGTTTCCTGCAAACTACATTCAATGCACCTCCTAACGCCACTTCAAATGTAACTATGCATGTTCACTGTGAGAATCTACGCATTGATAAGAATTTTCCCATATTTACATTGGGCTGGGTGAGTGATTCCTTTTCACAATTATTTAGTCCGTGATAATATGCACTTGTTGTATTTAAATACGTCTAATGTCGGTAAACTATATCAAGATATTTCTATTATTGAACTGTACTTCCATCAATGCAATAATGTGTGTCGTTTCCCATTGAAGAATGTCATTATAGTATCATTTTCACTAATCAAATTGTTCTTTCTTTATACGTGCTATACATTACATGAAATTCAATTTTTACCAAGAGGTATATTCAGAGTCAGCCTTTCCAATTTATTTTAGGTTATTGTTACAAATAAAAATGCATGCTCTTAGATGGTAAATGTTATAGGATAATTAAATGCTGTGCGATGAATGAGAATGTATTTTAAATTCGTCGTTCTTCCGTCATAAATTTTGTAATGATAAGTGTTCCTTATGCTTAATTTATTTTATTACACCTTAAAATTCTTCTCTTCGATTAACAAACAGTTGCGCAAATAAACATATTGTATTGTTATCTACAATTCTCCTTTCATTGCCATTTGCTCCGTTGCTGTTAAGATATTTCGATGATGTAAAAGGTAGGCATTTTCTTTGAAAAATTGATTTACCCAGAAAAAAATTGCTTGGACTTTATTACATTACAAACTTTTTGAGGCATTCATTTTCATTTACTTGAAATTGGGAAATATGCTGATTTAATGACATTTTATAAGGAAATAATTTACAAAATGTAAAATATAATTTCTGACGATATTTATGCTAGAAGTTATATTAAATATATTATGAAAGGTGCATTAACACTCATGTTTTCATAACATAATAATTGTTTCGCGTTTCCAAAGTTTACTATTAGAAATTTCGACAATTTTTAAACTAATATATATGAATGATAGAACATAACAATTCAAAATTACTTCCGATGCAACTAAAATATACAAGCTTACTGAAAAATAAATAATAATGAAGTTAAGCAAATAAATGACTATCACCGAAACGTTTCTAATATTATCATATATAATTTTCTACGATGAATTAAACGTATATCGCTTCTCTGAATATTTATTTCGATTACACAGGGCAAGCTGGACAAGTCTATATTTTACTCCATTCCAGTGTCTTAATAACAAAAGGAATTAGGGATCGTCTTGTCCATCGTCAATTTCAACCACATCTAAGAATCTTGATAATGTTGTGAAATACAGAATATTTTTTATTCTTGGTCGATTCTTTTATGGTGGTGATTGCGTAAAATATTTGTATTTTTGTAAGGGTTTTTTTATTCAACCTTTTTTTTGTGTAGAATCCGAAGAAAATTATTTAACGTTGCAAAAAATCGACAAATGAAAAACACCCTGTATCTACTAAACGAATCAAAAGATTTTAAAGTGCCGAAGTTTGCCCACCTTGCACTGGTAATAAGTAATATGTACAAAATAACAGTATTCTCCTTAATCAATCTTATGGAATGCTCGTCACAACATAAATAATGTTTAATTACTTACATAATCCAATCTGTAATAGGTGAGTATCTTGAATTGCATATTCGCAAGGTTACTGCGGGAGAATGTAACTTCGTGAAGTAATTAAACTTTTACTGTATTCATTACAAATTGAATTTGGAGTCACATTCTTTAAAGAAGAAACAATTTTATTGGTCAGTCATACCTAAATTTGAAATTTGTCTGATAGATCAGAAAATATGTGTGTATTTCCACAATTTTCCAGATTTTTTTCTGAAACAGTTTTTCTCAAATATATTTTTTTAACACTGAAAAATTAAGTACGTAATTTGAGTATTTATGGCGGTTGCAATGTGGTAGAGGATTGGCTCTAGGCCGGAATCCCAGTTTATGTAATTTTATTCAAATAAAAAGTTACACTGCCGTTACCTTCTTATAACTGCACTCTTTACACTCTAAGAATATATATGTAAATATTTACACAATAGTAGGTATGAAACAAAAAGGGGCGGTGTCCATTTTTCTACACAGAACGCTTCACATGGAACTTACCATAAAATATACAAAGTCCGTAATATATTTGTTAAAATAGAATTTCAAGAAACGAATAATAATAATAATTATTATTATTATTAGTTAGTCAATAAAATTCTGTTATCGGAACTACTGTAACAAGTTACAGTTTCGAAAATGAAATTTACCGTTCAACATTTACCGAGATCACAGGTGCATGTCTAAAATGGTCTATGTTTTTATAGATTTTAGTAATCCCACCATCTGCATCGTTGTACAATAACATGTACATGTCTGCCTCTGATTTAAAGCTTCGCATCAATCCATTTATTCGATGCGTACCTAGCGGTGCCCCGCCCTAATTCCTGCCTTGTCGACCTAGTGTGCCGGTGAATAACCCCGGTTCTTTTTGCTGAGATACGTTGGCCGTGCATTTCATTGTCGTTTTTACGTGAGTGGGTGAGTTTGAAACATTGCTTGGTCGAGTGTATGGCACGTGTTTTTTGTGGCAGTCATTAGCATTGTGTATTATGAGCAGAGAGCGGCACACGGCTTAATCACAGATTCAGTCTATGTCTACCACTACAACGCGTATTGCAGCTTACTAACATAATATAGATTACTACTGTTTATTTATTTGATTGTCGCCACAAAGTTTCCGATCTCTAGTAATTATTAATATAGCTTTTAACAATACTTTTTTCTCTAACTTCAAACACCTCGCATAAGATAAAAAAACAATTCCACCTTTATTTCGGTATTAATTTTTTGTAAATATACAATATTTAAATTTAAAGTACGAAGCATAATTTTCTTAAATATATAAAGTTGTTACATATAAACTTGTACACTTCACACTTTCTTCTAATGTCATAAATATGAGATGATTTTTATATTTGTGATGTTATTATCAAATTTACAATACTATATCCATTTATAAACAGTAACACAATGAATTTGGTTAGTTTTCTATTTATAATTTAGAACTTTTTTCAATATTTCGTTTGTAATTGTCTTTGTCTCGATCTTCTTTTCAAGAAGAATTGAATATAAGGGACATTACAGATTAACGTGATATCCATACTGAACAACAAATAAACTATAAGTATAGATTAAGTTAATATTAAATGTATCATTCTAAAAGACTGATTTATATAGTATCAGATTCTTTCTGACTAAAACAACAATCAGGCGTCAGCTACTAGCCCTGTTACTGCAAAATTGTTATATATACGTTAAATGAAAGGAACTTTTCATCCACCTATTGATTAAAATTAGAGCCTGAACACTTTCATCCTTTTATTTTTAGTTATAACTAAACCTGCTTCTGAGAATAGTCTCTATACAGGCACCGAAGATCAGATCAGATTACCTCGCACACTCCACTTCCCCGCAATTTGGTTTCATCGGTTCCCATGCTTTGAGATAGGAAACGTACACTCTCTGTTAATAATATACAGCTAGAAGAGTCCGTGTCGGCGCCTTTGATGTGGCGGTCGAGAACCAAGCGAGACGGAATCGTTCTAACTCTCTCAGATTAAGCGGAATTGTCGGGGCTGGATTAAAATAATTTTTATTATTGAAATAAAATATTTAGTTTCTACCTGACAGTACCGTAGCAGGTAATTTTATTAATATGAAAATTGAATTAGAATATTAGGTGGTATGACATTAAAAGTAGAAAATAGGTATTTTAGATAGGTAATAGGTTTTGTACTTGAAGTTAATACGGATTATTAAAAGAAAACTTGAAGAGTAATTAAAATTCCTTGTTGTAAGCTCCTGTTTACTGACGTAATCCTTAGAGAAGAAAATGGTTAAAATCGCGTTTTTTTTAACAAAAAGTCGTTAATATCTCGAAAACGGTAGATTTTAGAGAAAAGTTGAATATGAACTTTTTTGTTCAGGATACCCCAAAAAGCATATTTATTTCGAGCGAAAAAACGAAAGCGAAAATTATGAATTTGTTTAAAAAAAATTGTTTAAACAATTTTTGACCATTAGTAACGTCTGGCAACATGCGGATATGTTTCAAGGGTCATTTTTTTAGTAGGATTATGAAAAAAAATCGAATGAGAATGTTCCTAGCGGGAGCAACGATACAGCCTGGACTAATACTTATACATATTATAAAACATACCTACAATATAATATACAAAAAAANCCCTTCCACAAATAAGATCTACTTCTTATTTGTGGAAGGGTGAAATGGGCGGTGACTATTAGACGCCTTCATTATAGCCATCTTTCTCTATCGCACGGATTTCTATGACTTACTTTATCACTCTCATGTAACGACTGATGAACTATGGGGACTTTCCGACCCTGTATATACGTTAAATGAAAGGAACTTTTCATCCACCTATTGATTAAAATTAGAGCCTGAACACTTTCATCCTTTTATTTTTAGTTATAACTAAACCTGCTTCTGAGAATAGTCTCTATACAGGCACCGAAGATCAGATCAGATTACCTCGCACACTCCACTTCCCCGCAATTTGGTTTCATCGGTTCCCATGCTTTGAGATAGGAAACGTACACTCTCTGTTAATAATATACAGCTAGAAGAGTCCGTGTCGGCGCCTTTGATGTGGCGGTCGAGAACCAAGCGAGACGGAATCGTTCTAACTCTCTCAGATTAAGCGGAATTGTCGGGGCTGGATTAAAATAATTTTTATTATTGAAATAAAATATTTAGTTTCTACCTGACAGTACCGTAGCAGGTAATTTTATTAATATGAAAATTGAATTAGAATATTAGGTGGTATGACATTAAAAGTAGAAAATAGGTATTTTAGATAGGTAATAGGTTTTGTACTTGAAGTTAATAATAAATTTTAATTTCCAACTCTGGTATTTCCTCAAAATTTGCACTATTACGTATATTATACGTTTGTATACATAAGAGTAACTAAATACAACATGAACATTCTTATGGACTTTCATTGTTTTAGGTTAAGATTAGAGTTAAAAAAAGGGGTTCTTCTAACTGTAGTTTAAGGAATTCTTGATTAGTATTAACTACTGTTATTGCAATTTTTAGATGTCTT